CACACACATTTGATTACTGAGCATAGTGTATAGGTCGGTTTGCCGGATAGTCGCGTCCCACTCCGCTGCTAGTTTTGGGAGTTTCTTACATAGTAGGCCATCTTTGAGACCGAGCCCATGGAGGCCTTATTTTCAAAAAATTCAACACTCAACCTTTTCGGTTTCCAAAAGTTTTGAAAAATACACAAGTACACAAGGAAGCAATGTGTATGTGTGTAAAATTTTAGAATGAAATACTTTGAATTGCGAGCTGCATAAAAAAATCCAGTACTTTGAGGATGAACAATACATATGCTAAAAAGCCACATATTTGTTTCTTTTGTATGTAGCTTTTTAAGGTATTTCGACCTGAAAATTTACACACATGTATATTATATCTTCAGGCATATGTGTATTTTTTCAAAATAATAATAATTGAAACTGGAAAGTTTGATTTTGAAGTTTTTAAATTCGGCCTCCATTTGGCATTTTCGAAGCTTAACAATGCCAAATGAGCAGGTATAGAAGACGTGGCCGCCAGCCTTTCCATTCCCGCCAACATCCAAATCTGGGTCTGATTATTCTAAGCGCATCATTACTTGCTAGTAGAAATAAACGTCATCTCCAATAATGTGCCTGACATCATGATATTCTCATCCTGAGCTACTCTGACTCACTCGCCCGATCCATCACTCCTTGTCAACGGCGGCAACCGCTCCCCCGTCTTCTTCCTCCGGCCGCTTCTCCTCCTTGCCGCCGCCGCCGCCGCTGGCCTTGTCGTCCCTGGCCTTCTCCAGCGCCGCCACCAGCCCCCTGAGGCACGACCCCGCGTCGTCCTCCGCGCTCTTGGGCGTCAGGTTCTCGGCCACGTCCGCCGGCGTCATGTCCACCTCCCGCAGCAGCGCGCCCACGGCGCCGAACAGCTCGTGCTCGTCCACGCCCAGGTAGGCCTTGGCGAGGAACTCGAACGCCGGCCCGCGGCAGTAGGACATCTCGATGTGCTTGTCCATGCGGCCCCTCCGGATGAGCGCCGGGTCCAGCTTCTCCAGGTGGTTGGTGGTGAACACGATCACCCGCTCGCCGCCGCACGCCGACCACAGCCCGTCGATGAAGTTGAGCAGGCCCGACAGCGTCACCTTGCTGCTCGCGTCCGCCGCGCCCTTCTTGTCGCCCTTGCTGGCCTTGTCGACCTCCTCGGGGGCGGCGTCCTTCTTCTTTTCGCGCGCGCCGGTGAGGTCGAGGGAGCAGTCGATGTCTTCGATGACGATGATGGACTTGCTGGTGGTGCCGATGAAGAGCTTGCGGAGGTCCGTGTTGGAGTGCACGGAGGTGAGCTCGATGTCGTACACGTCGTAGTCGAGGTGGTTCGCCATGGCGGCGATCATGGCCGACTTGCCCGTCCCGGGAGGGCCGTGTAGCAGGTAGCCGCGCTTCCACGCCTTGCCGACGCGCTCGTACCACTCCTTGCCGGCCTTGAAGGCGTCGAGGTCGTCGATGACCTCCTTCTTGCTGGCCGGGTCCATGGCGAGCGTGGCGAACGTCTTGGGGTGCTGGAACGGCACGTGCGTCCAGGCGGAGCGGGCGTAGCCGCCGTCGCCGAACTGGTGGGAGGAGATGTTGGTGAAGAGCTTGCGGCGGCGGTTCTGGACCATGACGGCGCGGCCCTGGCGGCGGACGCGCGGGAGGTAGGCGTTGAGGACCTGCTCGCGGTGGCGGTCGAGGAAGGAGAGGCGGTAGAAGCGGCGGTTCTCCTCGTCCCCGCCTCCCCAGCCGCCGCCCCAGCGCCGGTCCTGCGGCGGCGCCGGGCGTGAGGAGGCCCACCAGAAGACCGCGCCGCCGCCCTCCTCGGGCAACAGCTGGTCGGGGACCTCCTCGCCGTCGACCATGCTGAGCACGAGGCGGTCGGCGTCCGGGGCTCCCTCGGCGCGGAGGTGGCGCGCGCTGCGCGAGGTGGCCGCGGCGAGGTAGGCCTTGACCTCCTCGAAGGCCTCGGCGCGGCGCATCCTCCCGCCGTCGTACTCGGCGATGGTGACGGAGAGGTAGGGGTCGACGAGCGCGGCGAGGCGGCGCGCGTGGCGGCCGAGGTTGCGCTTGACGAAGTGCTGCAGCTGCAGGTGCTGCAGGTTCTGCCACACCACCGTCCACAGCACCGCGATGATGCTGAGCACCACCCCGGAGTTGAGCCCGCCCCACACCCCCGCCGCCGCCGCCGCCCCGTCCACCCCTCGCATCTCCGGCGGGCTAGCTCGAACTCTTCTCCTCTTCTCTCTTCTCTCCGTGCCGGCCAGAACCCAGAACCGAAACGAGATGGAAGCAAATTAATGTCTGGTGGTGATCGAGGCGAGACCTCGGCCCTACTTATGGTGGACGGACGGACTCACCGTCGGTTTCTTGGCGGCGAAGGTGATCGGACGGGGGGTCGACACGGCGATTTGTCTTGGTGCGTCGATCTGGGGCTGGCTTGGCTTGCCCGTGAAGGAGCGTGCGTGCGACGAGCGCAGTGCCGTCATGCGATCGGCGTCGCGATCAGATGACGGGGCGTCGTCCGTGGTACTACGTGAGGCCGCGGTGGCATGGCGGTGCGCGGCTGATGGGTGGATCGATTGGCCACGAGGTGTGGAGTGGGCGGCTAGCCGTAGGCCGGCGAAAGACTCCGGCCACACAGCGACGCTTGTGGAGTCGCTACGGTAGGTCGCCTCGTCTCGTCTTGCTCAAGTGGATCGACGGAAGCTGCCTGGATGGATGGACCTACTGTTATAAATAATGCTTTAGGTTAACATAAATTGGATCTGGATCTCTTGATTAGAACACCAATACATGTGCGGTAGCCTGAAAACTTACAGGTGCTTGACGAAATCCCATACTCTTGATGCAGGCCCTACTCGATGCAGCACACGGGAATAGTTGGCGTAGCGGAACAGCACCGAGTGAATAGCCCATGGCCGAAAGCGTGAACGTAGCCAGCAGCAGGGAGATCGTCGGGGAAGTATGGCAGGAGCAGGGCGACGTAGTTGGCAGCAGCAGCGCTGCCAGGAGCCTTGCGGGTGGCAGAAGGAAGCCGCCGGCACAGCCTGGCGACGGCCAGCGGTGGAAAACGGCCTTTCAGACCATCAGCTCCCTCTTTTTAGGATCGGTTGTTAGCATTGAGGGGTTTAACCCGTTTTGTTTTCTCTTATGAGAACAGGTACGTGACCTCTTTCCTTTATATGAGGGGCTGATGGCCTGGGGACCGAAACCAAACGTTGGGTTTGGGTGCCCCCGATCAAAGCACCAACGTGGGATTGGACTCCCCTTTTTATCTCGGTCTATAACAACCTGAGAGCAATTCCAACATTCTCCCCCTTGATCGTAAGGTTAACAAACATCATAAGCCCACTCTTAATAGAAATAATATACCAAAGTAATGTGTTACAATGACCAATGAGATGTCACTGAACCTCAGTACCCATAGTACATCATTCTATCTCGAAATGGAAACATAATACTTTATGGGAGTTGGTTTATATGATAGTCCTAATATCAAGGATCAAAAGGCTTTATGAACCCATGCCGGCAACATATAATCATAAAATGGGTGGTAAGCCTTTAGTAAGCGGTACCGCAAAAATTTATAAATCAAACATCATAGGTTTGATCCTAGACTCTATCTTTCACAACAGAGACATTATGTCAATGGTTTTGGCAATAACAATTGACTTGTTGTTACTCGCATAGAGAACTGCGTGCTCATAATCGCAGTAAGTGGCTTAGAGATGCTGTCTACCACTCTTAACTCAGGGAATAAAATTCTTTCGACATACAACCTGCCCAGTAGCCTCTTAACATGCCACATAATTAATTGCATCATACTGATGCCATTCAAATTATATTGGAGCTTTTCCACGATATAGCTCCATATGCAAGGGTGAAGATGTAACATGACGTGGAAACTTAATATCCACACACCTTGCAAAAAAAAGTATAAATAACCTCTGATATCAAGGTTACCACACTTCTTATTAGTGAGCATGTAAACTTATTGTCTTGCATATCTACAAGACTTTTGGAGGCTTTTCCAGCGGTCCATTTCTGGACTTGTATATTTGCCAATTATCCCGATCATAAATAGGGCAAGTTCATATTTGAATACTTACATTGCTTCTGACAGCTGAAGCATAAGGAACTAACATTACCTGATCAGTTCATAATGGTTCCTTGGACACTAAAATGTCCACCTTTATTGCCCTTGACTTTAGTAGCAGGTGCAATAGAGTACTACCATGTAATATTTTCTTCCATACTCTATCAACATATGTCATCATAATAAAACTTATACTCCTTTTGGACCTATATCTTGGCGAAACTCAATACAAGCAAAGTATGAGGCATCACCAAGATCCTTCATGTTACAAATAGAAGATAGAAATTACTTGGCTCGCCAAAATATTCTATCTCCACGAGGTAGTGATCTTACCCCCCCTCGTCTTATAGGATGAGTGTCCCAACGCTTGTATTATCTCATAACTGTATTTCTTTAGATAACATGCCTTATGTCAACTTCACTCATGACAAAACCGTACAGTTGATACATACATTATCAACTAAGTCAACACAAGAGCATGTCATAGTAATAACACAAACGTCACAACAACTCACTGAGGAAATTCTATGGAGTTCCATAATCCATTAGAGCTCATAATCTTCATCCTATATGGCAACAAGCCACTAAGATGATCATTCACACACATTATCGATCATAAGGAAATTGTTGAGTCTCAAAAATAAGTGTTGCATTTAGAGAAAAATATATTCCCCTCAATTTACCTAATGCATATGAACAAAGATCTAATGAATTTATCCTTAAGATTAATGTTCATACGCTCCAGGTTCCCTGATGATCACTTTATCTAGAAGACAGAAAATATATCCAAAAAAAACTTGATAACAATCATCTCAGCTCTAAACCACAACACCGTTGGGCTGAAGATGGAAAAGAACTTAATGAACTGTGACAAATGATTATAAACGGCGCTAGTCACAAATATAACCACAAGCCACATGATACTGACAAACTTGCCACTTGAGCGAAGTGCCACATATGATTATAAACAACGTTGGTCATATATAATCGACATGTTACATCATGATGGTCATTAGACTAGCAAGCTTGCCACTTTGGCATTCATGTGTGCTTCGTAATGCTCATAAGGGACTAAGTACATACTAACACTATAAAGGAGTCATTTTTCATTCATTCTTCTAAATAAGACTTGTTGCATCTTAATTAGAGGACAAACGTTAGAATGTGCTTTTCATACATTCTCCAACCAAGACTTCTCGTTGGTTCCATCTTAGTTAGAGAATTGAGATACATATTTTGCTTAATTGTACATGCTATGATCTAAGTAGGAGAAGTGAACGCGATATCTCATATTAAATGAGACTTCCATTCTCCCCCTCGAAATGTGGTCTAAAACCACAATTTTGATGAGGTCTCATTAATCACACTTCTCTTACATCTTCAATGGTAACATAGCATATAATCTTTACAAAAGATTCATTTAGTGAAAACATAACTCGTCTCACCATAAGGTGGGACTAACGTTACATAATTTGAGTTGACTTAATAACATATAAAATCACGTCATCTATTCGACAGACGAAATTAAGGTTGTCCAATAACTAGGAGCATGAACAAAACATCATCAATAAGATGAAGAATCAAGTCATCTCCAAAAGCTAGTGGAATAAATCCAATAGTTTTGACTTTAATCTCCTTTGCATTAGTAATGTGCATGATGGGACATGCATCCTCTCCCAATGCCTGCCCTATCATCATGATTAACATCCTTTAACCTTAGTGGCAGAAAAACATTGGGAGATTCCTTACATGAGATAATGATCTCCACTCTCCATGAGGGCAAATTATTTACATAAGGTTCTTCTATGCCAAACAAAAGTTTGACATCATTATTATTGCTGGAAAAGAGGAGACAACTTTATAATCATCGTAACAAAAAAAACCAAGCATGAACTAACCATGCAATGCCATGAATAAAAACATGCTTAATTTTTATTTCAATCTGTATCACTGTTGGGCAGAAAAACAGAAAATAACTTTACTTGTTTATATATGACACATGAAAAGTAATCAACTTTGGTCAGAATATCATCATATGCCATAATAAACATTTGCTCATTAAATATCTAATCAAAACTTCTCGTTGGTTCCATTTTGACTAGGAAAACATAGACTCACATAGTGACCAACAATGACATGAGGAATATTAATAACATTCATTAACATAAGGCAACAATACAGTCCACTCCAATGTCTCATGGGACAGAAGGATTCACAACATGTTGTAAACATCTTGTTTACAATTTTCACACTTGATTGACACTGATAATAACATTAAACCTTACTGTCATAATGATCATTAAAATTCTCAGTGACATACAATAAATATGACAATAGAATTAACATCTATAATATAAATGTCACTGCCACCAAGTAATCATTAAAGAGGACATTCGGAGTGAAAATGTCATAAATATAAATCATCATAAGAATTTCCAAAATTATAAAATTTGGATATCGAAATTATCAAGATTCGCCAAATAATAATATTGGGCAAATTAATAATTGTCAAATAAATGACCATGTGGGAAAAAAACTTAAACAAAGTTTCTTCGTTAAGAGAATTGATCATAATCCATTAACATCATTTTGGACCATTATGAATATTTGAGTGGTGCACATCATAATAAAAATGTCATAAAATGCACCAACCTACAACTTTAGTTTTTCCTAATAGGCATATTGCCCCAACATTATTATGACACATAGAGGTGCGGAAAACCAAACCACGCGTCCATCATCATTTTCCTTGAGGTGGCCTGAGCCCATCAGAAATGATCACATCTTTAAGAAATCTCATAAGTATGGCATCAACATTAAATTCACACTCAATCAAATTTTCCAAATAAAATATTCAGAAAATTCAACGGGCGATTCATAGTGCTCAATATTAATATCCGTTTATAACATTAATTTCACCATTGAAAATATACTAGAAATGATATCATCATTAAAAGGTGCCATTAAAAAAAACAGCGACATTAGTGTCAAATTAAATTTTCCAAATAAAATTTCCCGTTGGTTCCATTTTATTCAGAAAATTTAAATACATAATTTCAACACAATTATAGGAAATTCCAAAAACTTTTAGTGCATACACATTATTAGAAA